TCTCTCTCTTTCTCTCCCCACCTGATGTCTCTCCAGATATCAGCAGTGACCACCACCATCAGGTAAGGGGAGAGAGTCAATTAGTGAGAGGATTAATTACTCGGAGGCACGAGCCCCGTTTGTCTTCCTTACCGGGTGTGAGTGTGTTCAGACAGAGGAACACGGGCACGCACCCAAATACACATTGTTGTCACGCTGTCTTAGACGTTTTATTTATTTGTTGGATTCCTGCCCAGAGCCGCTCACACGCTTTTCCACGGGCTCTGAGTCTCCCACCAAAAAGGCTGCCTCCTTTTCTGCTGCCCGCGATCCCGACTGTCACACACCAGACACCCTCCAGTCACTGCCAGGACCCGCCCGCAGCACCTGCTGGGTCCTGGGCTCTGAGCCTCTCCCCGCCGCCTTTTTTGTCGCTGGGTTTCTTTTCCTCCACTCCTCCACGCATTTCCCCCAGTATGTCTTTCCTCCTTTTATTTCTCGCTTACTTTTCCACAGTCCTTCTCTGTTTTCCTCTGGGTTTCTGCCCTTATTCGCTGTTCCCATCCCCCTGCCCTCACTTCTGTCTTTCTCTCTCTGTCCTGCCCAGACTCTCCGTCCCAGACTCTCCATGTCCTGTCTTTGCTCCGCGCGGCGGTGCTGACTTGCATCTGAGATCACCACGCTCGACCTGGCTCCCCTCTTCGTGCCCAGGGTGCCTCCAAGCCCTCGTGGGAAGCCTGGTGTTGTTTACCCAGCCCGAGCGCACACCGTGAAGGCCCGGCCGGATGCTGCCTTTTACCGGCCTCGAGGTCCCCCACCTCCCCCAACCCGGGCCTTGGAAACGTGGCAGGGCCAAGTACACAAAGGGGCAGGGTGACAAGACCCCCAAACTTCTCGCCTTCAGTAGCGCACTGACCCAGGAATCTCGGGCAAACCCCCTAACTTGGGTTTCTTCCCCGGGAAGGAGATAATACCGATCCCCCCTCTTACTATGTGATTCTGGGCAGGTTGCGATAAAAACTGTAAAGTGCTACACGCAAGTAGATCATTTCCAGGAGAGAGTGTTGGAGTGAGATTAAGGCAACCCGAGGCAGGAGCAAACGAAAGAGGGCAAGGAGAGAGCGGGGAGAGGTCGGATCAGATCCCAGCTTCCTGCGTCGCACGTGTGGCGTCCTCACCGAGTCTGTGCGGAGTTTGCGTGGCCTCCGGTACTGGAAGGGTCCCGGACGCGCCCGGCTCGCTCCCACCTTCCTCTTCCTGGAAGGTGGCGGCTGGTCGCGCCCTATTGCTGCCGGCCCGGCGCAGGTACCCATCTAGAGCCCGCTCCGCCCCCAGGCGCCCCCTTTCGCGGCCTCACCGCCGATTTCTGGAGGCCGCGGGCTGTACAGGAGCGCCCTGGGCGAGGAGGGAAGCGGCCGGGGCGGTGGGCGTTATCGGGACCAACAGCAGCCAACCTTGTCGGCAAGCTCGGGTCCTTGGGCCTCCCAAGCCACTCGTCGGGGAGGGTGGCCATGTAGGGCTCGGAATTAAGGGGGCGGCGGGAAGAAAGGGGGTGCAGGAGGGGGAGCCTTCAGCCCCCCAACTGCAGGGCGTCTGGGAAGAGCTGGCAGAACCCTCCCATGGCCCGTTTCCGGGCCAGGTCCCTCCTCTTGGGCTGATCCTCAAAGCGATTCTCATAGCAGAAACCTGTGATGTGAAAGCCGCTTCCAGGGCCCTCTGGGGTCTTTTCCAAGAGCGCCTGGGATGAGGTTCAGAGGATTCTGCGGCCACTGAGCGATGACTGGGCGGCAGATTGCCCCTCCCGGCACCCGGTGCAGGATTCACACCACCTGGCAGCCGGGCGCTGTGCGTGGCTGTGGGTGTGGGAGACGTGGAGAGCTCTGGGGAGAAAACGCCTGCGGACTTCAGGACGCAGGCAGTAAAGGTGGCAGAGAGGGCGAGGAGGCAAGGTTGGTGCTCTTGGCTGAGCAGACATGGGTTTAAAAGCAGAGCTGAGCTGAGAAGCTTCGGAGACGGTCAGTTTTCTCTCCATGTCTCTGCGACCAATTACATTTTAAAATAAAAGCTCAATGGAAATGGGAAAAAAAACATATTAATCTACCGTGCGGTCGCCTTGGAGGCGTTAAAATTGGACTTAAATTTCTAGAATCAGGAGCCAGGAGGCGCGCTTCGAGTTGCTCTCCCCGACGACCTGCGAGACGCCGGGATTAGTTCCCGTGGACCCGTTCACTGAGCCATCTGGACCTCGGAGCCCGATGGCCTAGAGTCCGCGTCCTGCCCTCGCCCTCAACTCCCTTATCGCGCTAGTCCGCCCGCAGGGGGGAACCCTCTTGTCCCCACGTCGAGGTCCCCGCACCCCCAAACGGCTGCAGCAAACCTCCTCCAGCCCACTCGAAAGCAGGCGGCAGGCCTCGGGTTCAGGAAGGGCCGGCAGCCGGGTCCAGCTGTCGCCCCGTAAGTCCCCGCCGACTGCCCCCCACCCCCGCGGTCCCTCTGCTTTGCATGAGAAGGAGCCCAGCTGGGGCGGGGGCGGGGTGGAGCCACTCGGGACAGGGTCCGCTATAGATTCCAGAAAGGGGCGGTTGAGTTGGGGGCGCTGGCGGCGAGAACCAAGACAGCTGGGGATGTGGGGGCGTGGTGGGGAGAGCGTGGAGACCGCTCACAGGACCACCCCCTCCTGCGGGCCTCCCCCGGCGCGGCGGACTGGGAAGGTGCCTCCGGGTCAGGGTGGAGGAGGCGAGGACCCCGCGCCACGCAGCTCTTAGCGCCTCCCCGGGTCCTGGAGTACGGGCTACGGGTCGGCTGGCTCCTGGAAATGCCGGGTCCGCGGGAGGAGCACAAAGCCAAGTCGCATCCTTCAAAGCCGGCCTGCTGGGTTGAAGAACCGCCCTCCGCATCCCCAGCTCTGCCCTGAGTCCCGGCCTGGGAGAGAGCCGCGTAGGGGGCTGTTGCGAGAGACAACCAGCCCCAACGCCGCCCTCCCCGCAGTGGGGAGCCAGAGGCCAGGTGTGTGTGGAGGGGGTGCGGAGAAGGCGAAAGGGCCCTCGCGCCCAGAGGTCAAGATGGGCGGAGCGCCAAAGAGCCTCACTGCCGGTCTTGGCTTCGGCTTCCAATGAAAAGGTGACGCGGGCGGCAAGGCGGGGGCTGACGGCGGGCCTCGGGGGTGCAGGGCTGGGCGGGCGGAGGCTTAGAGGAGGGAAAAGCGTGTTGGCAGAGTCCTAAAATCCCAGTCCACGGAGCGCAAACCAAATTCGCTGTAGTGGCTAACCGGTTCGTTCGAAGAGGGTATTCCATTTTGCAAAGAACTGGCTTCCTTGCCTGCCACGTTCATAACAATTGCATTGCCGGGCGCATTTCCCCCAACTTAGCTCCGGCCCTGTGTGAGATGTCTGAACCCAGCACCGCGTGGGGGGTCAAAAGGCCATTCTCAAAATACCGGCTAGACCTTGCTGGCTGGCTGCCCATCCTTATTTCCTTCTACACTAGGGCCAAATGCACCTTTCTAACACCCCTGTCCCCCAAAAACAAAAACAAGGAGCAAATGCGGGACTGCCCGGCCCTTCCACCTTCAGATTTCACTTGGGGAGAAGTCCCGGTTAGGCATAGAAATGGTGCTGTCGAAACGGAATTTGGTATTTGATGGGTGTGGGCCGCGGAACTAGAGTGACTCTTCGAGGCTAAGAGTCTCAGGACCCGGTCCCGACCCCTACTTCTGGGAAAATCTGCCCCCGTGGGCAGTGGTCCCTAGTTTATACCCTGAGGAAAATTAGGGAAGTATAGGCTGCCTAAGACGTGAACTACCGGAGGTTGTTCTGCGCTTGTCCGGGGAAGCTGGTGCCAGCCCGGAGCCTGGAATAGGGGACAGGGCGGCCGGGCCCGTGCTCTGCACACCCCAATCCCCTACAGCCTCGCCGTGGAGCCCCCAGAACGTCCCCGTTCCCACCGTCAGTACCACCACACCCCAGCCACTACTGCCCCACGGTTTCCCGCCTAGTCTTTTGTTTATGTATGGAAAAGGTGTCTCCGGATCACAGTTTTCTCACAACTTCTCGCCGGGGTTGCAACTCCTCACCCGAGGCGCTTCCCCACCCACTCTTTTCCCCCGCCCCGGCGCCGCGCCTCCGGTCTCCCCCGCCCCACCAGGAAACCTCCGGAATCAACTTTCCAAGACTGCGCTGCGGGAAACAGGCACCCAGATCTCCTAGAGACCCGGACCCTGTGGACTTTGGATGGATTGGGGGAGGGGGCACAGAAGGAGGGACCGGAGGAAGGAGATTCTGCTGCCAAACGCCCTCCCCCGCCCAACTCCCCCAAAGACAAGCGCTGCGCCCGGGGCAAACTTCTAGGCCAAGAAAGCAAGAGGAAAAAAAAAAAAAAAAGAAAGCCAGCACCCGCTGAACTGCAAAGCCAAAGAGTGCACCTGGGCCACCGAGGCTCCCGGACCCAGCTGCACCCCAACCTCCAACAAGGCTCGATCTTGGGTTACTGCCCCTCTCCGGCAGGCCTGCGCCTACTCCCGCGCGCTCTCAGTCTCTCTCACCGAAACCGACGCCTTACCGGAGCAGCAGGGGACCCGGGCACCTCGCTGCCCGCCGCCCGCACCGCGCCGGGCCGCGGTTGCCGCCGCCACTGATCCTCTAAACGCGGTCTCCCGGCACTCTCCCCAGCCGGGGGATGCAGAATGGTTTACAGAGGGACCGCGAGCCGCTGATTGGTCGCAGGCCGCCGTGACGTCGGCGGGCGCTGCATTAAGGCGAGGGGGCTTCCAGAGCCCAGCCAACAGCCAGGAGCAGTGACCGAGCCGCCGGAACTGGGGAGAGACGCGCCGGGGCGGCGGACTGGGCCAGGAGACCAGGGACAGAGGGACGCTTGTCCGGGGACAGCCTACAACGAACTGCGGCCCGGAAGGCGAGAGCGGCGGCCCGTGCCGAGCTGTTCCAGCCGCACAGAACTGTAGCCGCTGCACCAGGACGTTTTTTAAAAAGCTCTTCAAGCTACTCCCCCTCCCCCCGACTCCTCCCGCTGCAAAAGAAAAGAAAAAAAAAAAAAGGAAGGAAGGAAAGAGGCTAGAAAGGAAACCCAGATTTGCCATCACAACGAAAAAAGAGGGGAAAAGGAAAAGAAAAGTCGAGAGACTGTGGGGTTGCACGCAGGCAGCTGGAGCGTGGGCCGAGCGATGTGGGGCTGCGCGCCCAGGCGGCCGCGAGTTGCTACTGGAGCCACGATGCACGGCCAGGCGCGGTGAGGAGCCAGACGGCACCCCCTCCCCGAAGGAGTCCAGGCGCAGGGAGGGCCGTCCCGAGGAGACGGAGGCCGCCAGGCAGGCCACGGGCCGAGGTGACGGGGCTGGGGCGGTGGGGAGCGGGCGCGCGCACCTGGCTGCGTCCGCCCGGAGTTGTCCCTCTCACTCTCGATTGACACAAACACTTCTCCAGAAGGGGGGAAACCTAAGCAACAACAACAATCAACAACGAGATCTTCCTCCTTTCCTCCCTCCCTCCCTTCCCCCGAGGCCTGCCCCCGCCCCCTTCCCCAGGCCCACCGCAGGCTCCCAGGGCGTCCCGACCCGTTGCGCGAGGCCGACAGTTTAGGATCCAAAGCTTCCCTACTCGTTTGGTTCTTCTCTTTTTATAAAAAGAGGAGGGGAAATTCCGGTGACGGGCAGCCCTGCACGCACACACACCCGCCCTCATACCCCGACAAAAGCAGATGCACTTTGACTTCTGACAGCTCTACCTCAAGCCCGAGAGAACTCAGCGGCGCTTTCCCTGCAAGCCGAGCTCGCCGCGTCGTCCTCTTCCTTCTCCGACTCCGTTTTATTTATTTATTTCCGTTCCCGTCGCCGTTCTCGGTGACCTTCACTCCTTCGCGGGCTCTGGGCAGAAGAGTCGCTTTCTCGCCCGCCTGAGACTCTTTCCTCGCCCCAGGAGCGGCGGCGGCGCTGCTGTGCCCCGGGGCCCCGGGACTGTCGGGCTGCACACTCCACCGAGGCGCCCCCCGACCCCCATCAGCCTCCTCCCTCTCTCTGATTTTCCGGCGCGGGTTTCGGTTTGCACTGCCAAGTGTGTCTCCCCATTTTGGAGGGGCTGGGGAGTTCCTGCCGGTTGTCTTGGTGAATCATCCCCTCGGCTCTACCTGCGCTTCTCTCTCCGGGCCTCACCCGACCAAACCAAAGACCATGGTGCACTGTGCCGGCTGCAAAAGGCCCATCCTGGACCGCTTCCTCTTGAACGTGCTGGACAGGGCCTGGCACGTCAAGTGCGTCCAGTGCTGTGAATGTAAATGCAACCTGACCGAGAAGTGCTTCTCCCGGGAAGGCAAGCTCTACTGCAAAAACGACTTCTTCCGGTGAGTACTTACCTCGCGCGCCTCTGCTGCTCCTTCCCCGCGGGCCCTTCCCAGCCAGCTTCGGATCAGAGGTCAGCGTGGCCGCGGCGGCCGCGTTAGGAGCTGCCTTTGGAGAGGGCAGCCAAGTCCCGGGGGCTCCCGCCTCTTCACCAGCTGGCGCGCTGGGCTCCCCGGGACGCGGCCTGCTTTCGTCCTGGAAATTGTGGGTCCGGGCTTGGTTGCACGTGCCTGGGAAGAAAGGGTCTGAGCTCGCCTCTGAGCCAGAAGCCTCTCCAAGCTTGGAAAGAGGTAGCGCAGCCTCAGGAGGTGTAGCCCCGGCTCCTGCCTTTCCCCTTGCAGAGCTCTCCAGCGACTGCATCCTCCGGGCCTCCCGGCTTTGCTCGTCCTCCAGGCTGAGCTTAGAAGCCCAGGCTAGCTCCATGCCACTGTCTTTTCCGTCTCCGAGAAGTCTTGGCGGGAACCGCCAAGCCTTTTGCATGGAGTGTCTGAGTCGCCTGCGGTGGCAGCGGCAGGGAAGCGCTCGGCCATGGTGCCTATCCTGCACGCCCCAGGGTCTTCCTGAAACCCGGTTGGGCCTCCCAGCGCCGACCTGGGCACACTACTGCACGGTAGCCTAGACCTTACCCGGCTGCCTGGGTTGGCGGGAGGTTCGGCCTCCGCCCAATGCCGACCTCAGCCCTGAGGCGCAGGCTCCGCTCGGAGCCCTCCCAGGCTCTGCCCACCACAGCCCGCCACCTCCTTGCCGAAACCTGGGGAAAAGCCGAGACCCGGGTCGTCGGAGCCGGGGGACTTCTCCCGACAACCCTCCTCCGTTTAGCATTTTAATTGAATCCTCTTAAAGTTACTATCTTGCCACCAAATCCACACAACACACAAGTCAACAGAGAACTGGAGCAAACTCGAAATTCCCTTGTGCCCGTTTGAAATCTCCCAGTTTACTTGGCTGACTTGGTCTCTGCTTTTCTCTGAGTTTGTGGTAACAGATCAAACTGGGGGACAGAGTGGGGGTTTGAAGCCACCCGGGTCGCTTTGCTCAGAGGCCTGGGACGCGCTGTCCCCAGTGCATCCCCGGGACGCGCGGCTCTGGTAGCGGCGGACCATGGAGCAAAGCTCTGTCCGCTGGTATTGCCGAGAGCAAGCGCAGGCTGAGCCTCTTGGGCCTCCGCCGGTGCTGCCGGGCTTCCCGCTACTGGCGGGAGCCGAGCCAGGGAGCGGCGAACGGTGCCGACTGCCAGGGGGCCCCAGAAGCCTGGCTCCCGCGAAGCGCGGCCCGGCACCTAGAGCCCCCATGCGGTCTAGCTTGCGCCAACCTGCTGGGCTTTGGGCTTGAACGTGGCGACGGCCTGGCTGTGGCCATCCGGGCTCTCCGCGGCTGTTTGTTTACCCGCGGCTGGACCGGACCTTGCCAACCCCGAGCCCGTGTGCGCCTTCTTTTTCGACGAAGGAGAGGCAATATAGAGAAAAGCGGTGATCGAGACGCATTTGTATGGCGCTCTAATTTTGTTCTCTGAATCTAATCGGAAAATAGGTGCCTCCCTCTCCCTTCCCGTCGCCACCTTGCCGCCTTCTTCGGCAGTGCTTTTTCCCTCTGGGACAACGCTGGGCGTGAGGCTAGGGGTGGGGGCAGCTTGAGCTCCTTACTCCATCATTCTAACCATGTGTATCTCCTCCCTGACTTTTCACTGGTGCCCCGCACTTTCTCCTGCCTTCTTGCCTGCTTAATCGGCATTCTGCCTCTCTTTTTGGCTCTCCCTCTCTTCTTTTCCTCTTTCCTATTCTTCTTCCTCCACTTTCTTTATCGCCTTTCTCCCTGTTTCTGTCTTCCCTTGGTCCTCGCCAACCTGCCCCCCTGCAGGTGTTTCGGTACCAAATGCGCAGGCTGCGCGCAGGGCATCTCCCCTAGCGACCTGGTGCGGAGAGCCCGGAGCAAAGTGTTTCACCTGAACTGCTTCACCTGCATGATGTGTAACAAGCAGCTCTCCACCGGCGAGGAGCTCTACATCATCGATGAGAACAAGTTCGTCTGCAAAGAGGATTACCTAAGCAACAGCAGCGTTGCCAAAGAGAACAGTCTCCACTCAGGTGAGGCCCTAATTCCCGGCTCCTTAGGGGCGGGTGGGTCCTGGGGGAGGAAGGCCTGCCAAGGTTGCTGCTCACCTGTCCCTTCCCTCTCCCCAGCCACCACGGGCAGTGACCCCAGTTTGTCTCCGGACTCCCAAGACCCGTCGCAGGACGACGCCAAGGACTCGGAGAGCGCCAATGTGTCGGACAAGGAAGGCGGCAGCAATGAGAACGATGACCAGAACCTGGGGGCCAAGCGGAGAGGGCCGCGCACCACCATCAAAGCCAAGCAGCTGGAGACGCTGAAGGCCGCCTTTGCCGCTACACCCAAGCCCACGCGCCACATCCGCGAGCAGCTGGCTCAGGAGACTGGCCTCAACATGCGTGTCATTCAGGTCAGGGCCCGAGCGTGCCACTCAGTTCTCTAGAGACCCACACAGCTACTCCGTGCAGGCCGAGCTAGGGCGGGGGGCTGTTTTGAGGAGGAGAGTGAGTCCCTGTAGGCTGGCGGAGGGGGAGGGAGAGGCCCAGACACAACCCTACCCGGTTCAAACTTCAAAGCATCGCCAGATGCGTAGAGCATCTGGAATTCCCTATACCTCCTCGTCTTCCTGGTCCAGCGTAGGTGAGAGTGGTGACGGTGGGGGAGGGACGGGGAGCATAAGGCTGGAGGAGGGGACACTGTCGGACACTGCGACGGAGTTGGGACCTATCTGTCTGCACTGCCACCCCTGTTCGGGAGGAGCTAAGAGGTCACTGTGCCTCTCGGAATTAATCGGTTCCGCTGGCTTCTGCACAACGTGATCTCCCTCTGCGGGTCCCCACCCCCAACTTTGTGGGTCTCTTGCCCCAGTTAAACAAGCCCCAGAGCAGAGACTTCTCCTCTGAAGAGAGGTGGGCTGTCCAGGTTTGAAGGGAAGGTGGTCGGGGTGGGAGTCAGCTGTACCTCGGCCTGTCCAGAGTAGCATGGGATGGGAGGTGGCCATCCAGGCAGCTGCGCAGGTGCCCGCTGTGAGGTCTTGAGACTGCGTGTGAACCGGGCCCGAGTCTTGGGCCCAAGGTTAGGTGTCCGGTGCCTGGAGGCTCTGCGAGGGTATGGGTGGATGTGCCTGGCAGGCTGTGTGCATGGGCACACTATTCAGGCTGCCCTCCACGGGGGCCCTCTGCCTCTGAAAGGTTGTGCGATCTTGTGCGCAGGTGAAGGGGAGGCTGCATGTCTGTGTCACTACCAGTGAAAGGCTGTGGATAAGTACGTTTGGCACTGGGAGATTGTACGTGGGTGGAAAAGGAGACTGTGGGTTTTGGTGTCACTATCTTTGGGAGACTGAGTGTCAACAGGAGGCTGTTTGGATCTCTGTCACTATCATGCGGCGGAGCGGGCTGCCAGGGTCTCTGAAAGGGAAGCTATGTGTCTGATACTATTTGGGGAGGTTGAGCCTCGGTGTGTACAGCCCCCGGGAAGCTGTAACTGTGTCGGTGGAATTATTAGAAACAACTCCAACTGCCTCATGTTGAGCAGGGCGGCTTGCCCAGTTCCTCTGACGGGAATCCTGTTCACCATGGGCTCAAGGGCCACCCTGCGCGGTCCTACTCAGAGACCGCGCCCCCCGCCCCCCCCCCCCCGCCATATACAACACACAGACACACCACACGGCCCGGAATCCGCGAGATAAGCGGTGAGGGGCCAGGTCCGGCCGCGCACCCGAAGTCGGAGGTGGCGTCTCCGGGGCCTCACCCCCGCCCTCCCCCACCCCCGCGTGTGTGCTTCAGGTCTGGTTCCAGAACCGACGGTCCAAGGAACGGAGGATGAAGCAGCTAAGCGCGCTGGGCGCCAGGCGCCACGCCTTCTTCCGCAGTCCGCGCCGGATGCGGCCGCTCGTGGACCGCCTGGAGCCGGGCGAGCTCATCCCCAACGGGCCCTTCTCCTTCTATGGAGGTGGGTGCGCTGCCTAGGGGCAGGGCGCGGGCGGGGCGCAGGCAGGGCGGGCGGGGTTGGCTTCGTCGGAAGCGGGTGGCAGCGCAGAGGCGCCTCTGGCTTTCTATAGAGAAGTGGAGAGTAGGGAAGAGATGGCTGGAGGCTGGGGAGTAAATCGAGGGGAGGTAGTGAGACCGGACCGAATTCCCGACCCTGAATGAGGCGAATGGGCAGGTAGGGAGCAGCTCCAGCGTTCGCACCCAGCCTTCTCCGTGCTTCCGGCCCGGCAGGGGAGCCGGGCGAGTGGCGACTTCCCCGAGTCGCCCTCCCCAGCCGGCTTGCGGGCACGCCTTCCCGCCCTGTCACCCTGCCCCACCCAGGGCCCCGCCCTGACAGCCTCCTCGCTGCTCCGCAGATTACCAGAGCGAGTACTACGCTCCCGGAGGCAACTACGACTTCTTCCCGCAAGGCCCCCCGTCCTCGCAGGCTCAGACGCCAGTAGACCTGCCCTTCGTGCCGTCGTCCGGGCCTTCCGGGACACCCCTGGGTGGCCTGGAGCACCCGCTGCCCGGCCACCACCCGTCGAGCGAGGCTCAGCGGTTCACCGACATCCTGGCGCATCCTCCCGGGGACTCGCCCAGCCCCGAGCCCAGCCTGCCCGGGCCTCTCCACTCAATGTCGGCCGAGGTCTTCGGGCCCAGCCCACCCTTCTCGTCGCTGTCGGTCAACGGCGGGGCGAGCTACGGAAACCACCTGTCTCACCCCCCCGAAATGAACGAGGCGGCCGTGTGGTAGCGGAGTCGCGCACGATACGCGGAGTTCGTGGTTGTACAGAAACGAACCTTTATTTAAGAAAAACAGAAAAAAAAAAGAAAAAAAAACATAAAAGCAAGTCATCCCCCCCACTTCCTCCAGCTTGGGGGGTCATTTTCCGTCTGGGGAGACCGGATGGGAAAGGGGGACACGAAATAGAATCCAAATCCGCCTGGAGTTAAAACTGGGATCCGTGCGCTGGCTGGCAAGGTGCAGAACTGGGGCTCCCGCAGGGAAACGCAGACCTCTCCCCACCTCCCACCTGGACCCGGATTCTTGGACAGACACCGCCGGCGTGAGCGAGAGCCCGGCGGGCTGCATAAAAACACCCACGGCAGCCGCGGGAGGCGGCCAGTCGGTGGTGACGCCAGGAGCCGCGGGGAGGGAGGCTGCGTCCGCAGCGGGTTGAGGACGGTGAAGCGGCCGGGGCTCTCCCGGGCCAGCCAGGAGGGTTCTGGCTCTGGGAAATTTATTAGTGTTGTCTCAGAGTTCAGCAACAGCGACAACAAACTTATAGCTTCAGAAACGCCGACCTGCTGTGCATCAGGTGGGACTATATATATATATTTTTTTTGTCTCTCTGGGTTTTTTGGTTTTTTTGTTTTTGCCAAAATTGCAAAATTCTAAATGTAAAGCCCTCAGTATCAACTCTTCTACCTTCACAAAGCTCTACACACACACACACACACACACACACACAATAGGATGGTCTCCAGCCAGACCTCTTAGTAAAATGACTTGAACATCAGCTGTACACGAAAAGTATTCTACCTTCACACACACAAAATTAAAAGAAAAAAAAAACTATTGAACTAAAAACAGTCAACTGTTTACGTATAACGTTAAATTCAGGAGTTCAGTGTTTTACTAATATATCCTGTTTTGAAACCTCTTGTTCAAAACAAAATGTTTTGAGCAATCAACCAAAATTGTTCATTTTCTTTTCCTGTAGATGTTCTGACAGATTTACAGGGCTCACAGCTCACTGTGCTAGTATGTAAAAAGGTGTTGTTTACACAAGGCAAAGAGAAAACGTGATATTCAGACACTTGCCAAATAGAGTAATTATAGCACAAATACTGTAAAGGTGCCTGGCACCACAACCTGAAAAAGTGTTAAAAAAAAAAGTGTTACAAGGTTTAAAAAAAAAAACCATCTTTGCTAATTTTTAGTCCTGTTGAACATTCATGGAATTGTTAATATGACTTATATAGACCCACACAGGTTTTATTTTTGTGTCTTTAAAATAAAAGTCCAAAATATTTAAATTTTATGGTCAAATATGCAGTCAACAGCTGCTACTTTTTTCTTTATATATTAAATTTCTCATATGTCTTTTATTGTTCTGATAAACCTAAGCTTGTGTGACCTCCAGTGCATATTAGACCATTCACTGTATGAAAGAAAACATGTTGAATAAATTTGTGAGTTTTTAATAAAAATAGAAAATCTGATGTTTAGATAACTGGTGTGTTATTTGATGTTTTAACAACTAGAATTGAGCTGTGACGGAGCCGAATGACCTCTCAGAAGCCAGGAGGAAGAGAGACAGGACTGGTGGATCTGTTTTTACCTTGGCTGTAGTTGAACCCCTTTGCTAATGCCAACCAAGCTTTTCTCTGTGCCTTCCTGCTGTTATTAACTACAGATTTGCGTTCTGTGAATTTTAACGGATACAACTGAGGAGATGTTTGCTGATAAGTTAATATAGAACTGGAAATAGAAATCAAATCCATGGCTAAAAATGAGTGGTCCCAGTCTGTCATTAAGCATGAGACCCCATGCACTCTCTCCCTCTCCCCTCTAAACAGGCAAAACCAGATTTCTGAACGTCAGTTACCTATAAATAGGTAGTTAGAGGTGGTCCTTTTCTATTTCAATTCATTTCCCATAGATAATCCTGCTTTCTAACTTGGTGGTTTGAAAGATAACATAAAATGAATGTACAGCACAGCTATAAATGAAATACTTTAATCCCTTTCACAGAACTGATGTGAAATAGTTGTTTTATAGTATTTGTTTCATTTGAAGTTTCCCAGAAGGCAAACGATTTTGCTTGGCACAAGATACGTATTACTTTCTCTGAAAGAGGAGTAAAAATAACCAATATAGAAATCAGATTTCAACTGAGAGTTGCCATAAGGTTCTGAAAAGTAGTTCAATCCCTTCCAGGTCTTCATTAAACATGGAAGGAATTTAAATATTTTATCTGCTGTGAAATACATGTGTGTGTTTTACTATCAGACACTACCACAGTTCCAGAATTTATTTTCCATGTCACCTACATTTCAGTCTGGATTCTTTATTTCCTTTTTTTTTTTTTTTTAATCAAGGGTTTTACATGAAATGGTATGCAATTTCCAGTGTTGTTTTTATATTTTGTTAAGACACAATCAAGTGTATATTTCTTGCTAAGAAGGCTTTAAAATAAATATTTCACTGCATCCACATGACAGCTTATTCAATGGGGAGGACTATGGGGTGGAATATGACAGTGTTCTTTCAGAAATCCAAATTTATGAAATACTGGGGAGACTTTTGAAACTCCTAGCCTCTGCATGCAGCACATTTACCTGCTTTGTATGCAGATCGCCTTGTTTTTGCCCTTTTAGCATTTATATACATTAAATCATAGCCAACTTATTCATTATAGCCAGCCTCCTTTAAAGACATTCATTTAACTGAACGTATGCTCATTGGGAAGCCACATTTTCCCATCAAGGCTGCTGAATTATTTAGCAGCCTTATTGTGGAATCCGGTACTTGATAAGCAGTTTAGAGTTGGTTGCTCGGTGTGGACGCAGTTCTTCTCTGTGACTTCTATCTGGCAGCAGCTCGGTCTTTCCCCTTGGAAGCTGTGTCCAGAGCCCTAACGAATCCCTGGACAGGTGGCAAACTTCAGCAGTCAAATGTGGAGTCGCCCGAGGCGGGGAGGTCTAGGGATGTCAGGGACTGTTCTTGTTCCCATCAGAGCTGTGCTGCCCACCTCTGGCCCTGAGGTACCGAGGAGCGCTGCACCATCGCACTGCGCCTGGGCGCTCCCCGGTGGGAGGGGAGCGCCCAGGCAGTCCCCTCCGACCCCCAACGCAGGCTCCTCTCCTGCCTGGGCTTGGCCGCCTGGCTTCTCCCCGCAGCCATCTCAAAGCTGCCACCTCTGTGCCTCTAGCCACCTGCCCTCAGGGTTCCAGTGACTGGGAGCTGCCATCTGCCCTGGACGAGGGAGGCATAGCTCACCCACCTCTCTTTTCCGGGATGGGGTAAAGTGGGAACTGCTTTAGGGCTAGACAAGGTGGGGGAGGGTGATGCGTGGAGAGCCAGGACAGGCATTGGAAAGGGCCTGGGACCCTTGATAGTATCTAAGAAGAGAGAAAGGTAAGAACATGGTTTCCCTAAACTCTTGAAACTCCTGGTCACCTGAACAGACAGGAGATTGGGACAATGGGGGGGGGGTGGTATCCAATGTCACCCCTGCCTATCCTCTACTCTTCCTGCATCTGTGTGCCACTTTGCAGCCCTTAGGCAGAGGGACCATGAACTGGGAGACCTTCTGACCTTCTCTGGAGAGGACTGTTCTTTTCGGAACATGCTCGCATTTATTCCCATCCCCCTCCTCATCTCATCTGCTCACATCACAAGGGCAGTCAGGGTTTACATTTCTTCTAAGAGGTAGAGTTTTTGAAATAGCCCCTCCCATAGTCCACCGTCCATCTCCACTCCCACTCCCATCAGGAAAACCCTCCTCCCTTCTCAAGAAACTAGAATCAAGTAGGGAGGACCCCCCAGAGAGGGGATTTAGGAGGTTGCTGCCTCCTGCCTCCACATCTCTGAGCTGCATCTTAAGTCCTAGAACTCTTTCTTCTTTCCTCCACTCCTGGAGGCCCCTCCCTACTCTCAGGATGGGGTGAGAAAGCCAGGGAAGCATTTTGGGGGCCCTGGGTTGTGTGCAACAGCAGTAGAGTGGTCTTGATTTCTTCCTCAAAAGGCTTCCCAAGTCAGTAGGTGCCTGGACAGAGACAGAAGAGTAGGGAAGCAGGCATTTTCTGCCCAGAATTATCCAGCAGTGTCCTGTTTGCATGACAGCTAGAGGTGCTCTCTGCCTTGCCTCACCTCCCGGCTTCTTTTCTCCCCTTTCTTTACCCCAAGGCTAGGTTCCTAAGCCTTATTAGTGTCCCAAATAGGAAGGGAAGAGGACTGGGGGAGGTAGTTTCCTAAATGTGGGGTGAGGGAAACATTTTTGTCCTTCAAAGCCCGGGGCCATGCCTGTCCCAGTCCGTGGAGCCTGCTTTTACTCTGGAGGCCCCAGACGGCAGGCACCAGACTGCAATTACAGGGGATATGGTTTGTTTTGTTTTGTTTTTGTTTTAAAGCTGTTTTCGACTGAATTCTATTGCAGGTGGTAAAAAGCAGTTTTCTTTGCCTCAGTGCCTTGCCTACGGTGCCACCATCCTAGCTGGAGTGCTTTCCCTTCCCAGTGTCTGTGGGCATCTACCCTGAGGGCTTCCTGCCGCCGCCTAGGAAGGGGACATGGAACAAGTGGTCTCTTGTTGCTCTTGACGCTGGGGATGCGTATGGAGACTAGGGAATTCAGGGACCCTCATGTCCCTTGGGTTCCACAGGAGACACTGGAGAACTGAGGGTTCCCCAGGCTGTTCAACTGTGGGATCCAACTGGCCTGGGCTGTTCCCGGGAAGGGCACAGGGCACCCCTGACCCTGTTTCCTGGATCCATTTGAGGCAGTGTCCGTTTAGGGGCTTCTAGGTCTTTACAGGTGACCGCAAACAGATACTGGAAGGATAGACCACTTTCTACTCCCCTGATCATCCCTTTTTGCAGTTTCTCTTCACATGTTTGTCTGCCCCCCTATGCTGATCACTGCCAGAAGAGAATCTAACTTACTCATCTTTGTATCTCATTTAGCAGTGCCTGCCACATAGCGGGCAGTCAGGGAATGCTTGATGAAGGAAAGAGCATATAAAGGGATTGTATTTTTCTATGTGCCTGGGTGCAGTTAAATTGATCCTATTGGGTCTTTATATTTTGAGTCTACCTGTGCCCCTCTAACTGCAGACCTGAGTTTTCCCGCATTTGTGCACTACTTTCAAGTGTCTGAGTATGCCCTCATCCTTGAACAGCAAGGATATCAATACCGATGGGTGTGCAGTAGAGTAATCCCCACTCCACCCCTTTTTCCTGCACAGACAAAGCTACTTGCAGAAGCTACAGAATCGATCTTTATTTACGCACAGCTATAGCGCTTGCTAATTCCTATTAATAAAAATGCCAGCAGTGCACCGCACACTTACACATACCCATCCCTGAGGCACGATTTCCAAATCGTGGCCATCGCGGGGCCAGAGGCATGTGCCCGGCCCCAGACTCCTCCAAATTGTGAAATGCCAAACCTTCTTTTGGTCCCAGTCTGTGCGTGCCCTAAATCACACGTAAGCTTCGAGACGCTTACCCTTTACTCCTCCTCCTTCCCAAATCAGCCACCACGGGTCACGGTTACACTACACTTTATTTCTAAGCAAATCTCGGACAAATCTTGTGACATACTTTATACAAGAGGACACAGGCTGCACGCAAGGATGTCTCGGTTCCGGGCCAGCGGCGATGCCGTGCCCTTGCGCGCTCCCGCGCTGCCCAACACACCCCCTCGGCGCACGCGCACGCGCACACGCGACAGCCTTCCGGGCGCTTCCGCCTTCATCCTAGCAACGCACGTAGGGACGCAAGCCCCGCCCCCTCCCGGGAGCCTCCCGGAAGTTGCCGACCGGGAGTAGGGTGCGCGGCTCCGGGCGTCCCTGGATGTGCTGGGGCTCAGTCTCTGGGCGAGAGGACTCGGAAGGGGGAGAGCGACATTCAGTAGCGCGGCGCAGGGCGAAACCTGGTGACCATGGCGGGGCCGCAGCCTTTAGCCCTGCAGCTGGAACAGTTGTTGAACCCGCGACCGCGCGAGGCGGATCCTGAGGCCGACCCGGAGGAGGGTGAGGCCTGTTGGGGGCAAGGCCACGTGCGGAGCCGTGGGCCGGGCCCAGTGCGGACCCGGGCGGTTTGTGAGGGGCCGGCAGCTGGGCTTCGCCGCCTAGCCTACTCTCCTTCCCCTTGCGCAGAGGAAAACTGCTTCCCGGGAGGGTGGCCCCCGGGGCAGGGGAGGAGGGCTTCGGAATCTTTCGGACGCGCGTTCTAGATTTGGTGTTCGGGTGGGCGGAGCGTCCGGAGGACTCAGGCTTGGGTTAACTGTTGATCCAGTGCTGTTGCAGGCAGCCAGAGTCTGGTAGCAGGTTGGAGGTTATCTTTCAGGATGCCCTTACTGGCATTGCGTTAGAAATGAGAAGAAAAAGTCTCATCCTTTTTTTAAAAAAACTCTGCTTGTCCCTGAGAACCTACTTGGAGGATGAAGGAAGAAGTAGGCTTCCATGGTGCCGTTTCAGCCTTTTCAGGCTTCAGCACACTTGCTTAGCGGCTGCCGAATGATATTTCTGATCTGTAGGCTGATGTTCAAGGTCTAGTTGGGAGTAATCCTCCTTTAGGCTTGAGTCAGAGAAGTGTGAGGAAGGGAGAATACGGAGGGATAAATGTGAGTGCTGGACCGTTTCTTAGGAATAATTAGTTGAGGGAACTGGGGCCGTTTAGCCAGGATACGCAAAAAAAAAAAAACCAAACAACTCCTTGAGGGACGGGCTGGAGTGGGATAGAACATGATGATGGCTGACTTAAAATATTTGAGCTGACTGTCACACATGGAAGAGGGATTAGACTAGTTTTCTATGACCCAAGGCATGGAAATATATCCTTCTAGTAGATGCAGAGAGTCAGCTTTCTGTACAGGAAAGCTTTCTGTAGCAGCAAGGTAGCAAGTGGTCTGCCTTGGGAGGTGATGAGGTCCCTGTTCTTGGAAGTTGGTGGGGATTTTGTAGAGGACGTTCAAGCGTGAATTTAAAGGGCTGAACAGGGTTACCATTAAAGTATGTTCTAACCAGGAGATTCTGATTACTTTTCCCCCTCCCCCGACAGCCACTGCTGCCAAAGTGATCGACAGGTTTGATGAAGGGGAAGATGGGGAAGATGATTTCCTGGCAGTGGGTAGCATTAGAAAGCTGGCATCAGCCTCCCTCTTGGACACAGACAAGAGGTATTCTGGCAAGACCACCTCTAGAAGAGCTTGGAAGACAGACCATTGGGAGCAGACTCTGCCAGGTTCATCTGGTGAGTAGACATATTTATTTCCATGGTACTCTTTCTTTCCTGATTTTTTGGGGTAAAATTTTTTTTTTTTTTTTGATGCTCTCTGCAGAACTAGTCCAGATGCCCCACTTACTGTCTTAGGAGAAACCACTGATTTGACATTAGAAAGGGCCCTTTGAAGTATTGAATTTCACTTGGTAAGGAATCTGAAGTCTGGAGCTATTAAGTAGCTATACTCCTAATGTTTGCACTAATGGCTCACCCTAAAATGGAGTGAGAGAAAAGGTCTTGCATATTTGGATTTTGGAGAGGGCTATGTGTTGAAAAAGCATTGTGTCTGATGAGCACGCTACTCATGGATTTTGACGCTTTTCCTTTGGTTTGTCAAGCCTTGCATCGAGTCACTGGATAATATTAATTTGTGACACTCATTTTTTTGCCACTGTAGAAATTTCATAGTCTTTCCCTGTTCCCTGCAACAGTTAGGAGGATGTGAGCTTATAGTTTTAAAGATTGTGAGTTTCTCAGAGTGGAAGAAGGGGGCGGGATATGGTGATTATTGAGTGGATGCTATTTGTTTTCCTTTAGAGAGGTCAGAGGGACCATGTTGAGAATCCACAGATAATATAAAAGAAACAATCACTCATGCTGTGATATCCATGGTTTAGTCCCTGATACAGTCCTTGGGGCTCCCAGATGATAAGCTCATTTCATATTCTTTGCTTAGAGAATGATAAACAGACCAGTCCTGGGACCAGTATAATATTTATTGAGCTCTCACTATGTGTCAGGCACTATGGTAAGTCCTTTAAATTCTAAGAGCCTGGTACATAGTAAGTCCTCAGAAAATGTTACCACCATATCATTACATGTATTATCTCATTTAATCCTCCCAACAGCCCTGTGAGGTTGGTACTGTTTATCCCCATTTTACAGATAAGGAAATTGAGGGGCACATTGGTTAAGTAACTTGCTCAAGGTCATATATCTAGTAAGTGCAGGCTGGAACTCAAATAAGGCAGTCTGACTCTAAGATCTATACTTTAAACTACTACTCTGTGAATATTTCTTTATCTGAGAAATGGCATACATTTAAAGAACTTAAAGGATTATTTCTCTTTACTATTTGGCACTTAGTTTCTGTATATATGTTTTTGACAGCCTTCTCTGTCTTGAGTTTATATATTGTTACTTAAAGAAGTACTTAAGATATCATGTTTTCATAAAAATCTTTATTTTATGAAGAAAGTTGTTGGTAACAGGTCCCTGTATGATTATGCTTCCTGTGTTCTACCATGGAAGAGATTGGATAATCACTAAAGACCTGTAAGTGTCAGGATACCCCAAGCATAAGTAAAATCAGGAGCCATAACTAATATTCCATTTACTGAAGGATCAAGTTCAGAGTCCTTCCCGTGGAAGACAAGACCCCTCCTGATTTGGTCCCTGAGCAACTCTCTGGCCTCATATCCCAGCATTCTGTACCCCAGTGCACTTTTGTGTGCTGGACCTTTGCATCTGCTGCTTTTCCTTTCCTTCCCTCTTTTCTGTCTGATGACCTGTTACTTATGCTTAATAAGTAAAACTATAATGTGTCCTTCACATGAAGCCATCTCTCACCCTTCTCTATACACTGTACTAATGCTTTTGTAATGTAGTTATTGGTTATGCATATCCACCACTCCTAGCAGACTGTGAACCCGCCCCCACAGATATTACATTCTGTTTGTCAGTCTCTAGTTTTTATCCATGGCTGGTTCATAATAGGTGCTTAATAAGTGTTTAATAGGCATCACTAGGGTGACAGAGATTGTGCATTTGGGACAGTTAGTGATAAACTCTGTTTTTTCAGATGCAGGTTTGGGGAAACCAGTAATTCCCTCACACCAGATGAAATTTGACCATTTTTCAAGGTCCAGGTCAAAGGCTGCCTTTTTCTTATAACCTTGCTTAAATTCACTTGCTCCACAGCTAAAATCTCTTCCTCCTCTTGATTACCAAAACTTTGTCAAAGTGCTTTTAATTCTTCTCTGTATTATAGTTTTTATGGGTCTGTCTTTCCCACTAGAGCCTTTCAGTAGGATAGGACCCATGTTTTTTGGGTTTCTTTTGTTTTTGTTTGTTTATTTTTTTTTGGCCGCGCCGTGTGGCACTCAGGATCTTAGTTCCCCAACCAGGGATTGAACCCGAGTCCCCTCCATTGGAAGCGCAGAGTCTTAACCACTGGACCGCCAGGGGAATCCCATAGGACCCATGTTTTATTCATTTTTGTTTCTCCCTTAGCATTTTAGAGATAGTAGATGTGTGATAAATATTTGTTGAGTTGCATTGAATATGGTAATACTTTTTTTTTTGGATAGGTGTCATGATACTTTAGTTAAAATGAAAGATATGGCCTAGTATTTGTTTTAAGGTAACTTTTTTTTCTTTTTTTCCTTCTTCCCTCCCTTGTTTAGATCAAGAAATATCTGATGAGGAAGGGTCTGGAGATGGAGATTCAGAGGGTCTGGGCCTGGAGGAATCCGGTGAGGATGCCATGAGTGCTGAGGAACTGGAGTGTGCTGATGGTGACAGTAGCCTGGCCTGGAAAAAGAGGAGCAGAAGCCACTCCAGGAAGGCGTCGGGCTTCAGTGTCCAGAGCATCAGTGACTTTGAAAAGTTTACCGAGGGAATGGATGACCTCGGTAGCAGTGAGGACGAGGAAGACGAAGAGCAGGAGAGTGGTATGGAGGAAGGGGGTGGTGAGGAAGACTTTGAAGGTGAGAGTGAGGAAGACAAAGCCGAAGACAGGACCAGTGAGGACGACGGGGTGGTGATGACCTTCTCCGAGGTCAAAGTTTCCGAGGAAGTGGAGAAAGGCCAAGCTGTGAAGAACCAGATAGGTTTGTACACGGCTTGCTGTTTGCTTGTTTTGAGTGTCCACATTTGATCTCCTTTTTGTTTGTTTGTGGGTGTTTGCTGTCTCCTGTGTCCTTCCAATTAGTTGGTGACGTGCCCCACTTACCTAGAGGCCCAAAGCGCCGTTCCCCTGTGCTTGGCCTGCTGTTGCTTCACTCAGCTGCTTTGCTGGTTCTGCTCTAGTACTTCTGGCAGCTGTGGAGGGTTGAAGAGAAGGGCAGCGTCTCCTCTTGTTGGGCTGTAGCATTCTCTCTCTCATGTAGCAAGTCAATTTGCATCCAGACACCGGATTTATTTCCTGTAATAAATAGAGTGTTTCCATGGCATGAAGCTGATAAAGCCATGCTGCTTAGGGACTGCTTTGATTTCCAGTCCCTCCCCCTCTCCCTGCCCCAGGAAGATTTTATTAACTGAGGAATGGAATTCTTTTTTCTTTCTCAGCACTGTGGGACCAGCTCTTGGAAGGAAGGATAAAGCTACAAAAAGCTCTGCTGACCACCAATCAGCTTCCTCAACCAGATGTTTTCCCTATTTTCAAGGACAAAGGTGGCCCAGAATTTGCCAGCGCCTTGAAAAACAGTAAGAATGCTTATCGCATATTGGGATGCTTAGAACCACTGGGGTTCATTGGGATATACTGGGATTGTATTCACAGCACCACAGAGTTGAGAAGACTTGGCTTTAGTCATAATATGGTTAAAATGGTGATTTTTAAGTTAAAAGAAAATAGCAGTATAACCCTCTTATCAACTGAAGGCAACTTTGATCGAAACAGGTCAGGTGCTTGAGTCATGCCTGTTCCTCTTTTTTCCAGCCCTGCTCTCACTTTCCCCTCCCCCTCCTCTTGGCTTTCTGAGCTACTGCTTTAGCGCTCAGGGAAAAACCACTGGCATAGAACGAAAGGGAGACAGTGAATGACTGACGTCCGTTCGTTTAACTTGTATATCACGTGCTTAAAGGATGCCTTTCTTTGTTGGGTGGTTTCTAGAACAAAATGCTGAGATGACCTTACTCCTGTCTCCCTTTGGGTTACAGAGGGTGATGAAGGATGGTGACCGCAAAGGGAGGAAAAAGTTGTGAAAGAGAATTGCTGGGCTGTAAAGTCCAAGAATTTTAGAAGAGCAAAGGAATTTAGCAATTATTTGACTCCCAACTCCCTCATTTTACAGAGGAGAGAGCCAAAGCCCAAAGAGAACGAGTCGCCCAAAGTTAGAGAGCTCGATCATGCACGGCAGAGACAGCCTCCCCCAGCTTTTCTGCCTTACGATCTAGGGGCTGCCTCCTGGGTACCCAGTGGCACCAGAGGACTGGGGCCGAGGAGAGAGATGCGGGGTGAGCGCACAGAGGCTGGAATCTCCATCCCTTACTTGCACGCTGAGACTTAGTGTTGTCGTTTGCTCTTTCAAACTTGTTCTTATAATATCGTGGAGTTAGCCTGGGAAGGGGCCTGAGGAGGACATCGGTCTGATTTGGCTCTGCCTCTTGGTTAGAATCACCTTAAACCATTTGAGATAAATGGGTAGGATTTCTAGGGTAAGGAATTGTGTGAACCTTTCTTGGTGGGGACTACTTGGTTTAATTAGGAATTACTTCCCAAGGGCCAGTCTTTAGATTGTGTGTCTTGACACACTTGAAGTCAGGAACCCTGCAGTTACTGTGAGGGTGGGTCTTTTGTAGCCCCTCCTCCAGCTCTTCCCCGCTTCCTCCCTCAAATAAATGGTAGCTTGGTGGTTTTCAGCATTTTTGACATTTTGGGGGCACTTCTCTGCTATTTTTAACGCCCTAGTGCCCTGATTTCCGGCATGCCTTTGGAATGAGACCTAGACCAAGACTACTCTAGATTAAATGTCCTAAATGTTTCACAATAAGGCCTTTTCCATTTTGTTACTCATTACTCTTCTTGCTTGAGCCAACCCTGTCCCCGCTTTTTTGGGGGTTCATCTCAAAATGTAGATATTTTAAGGTTTTATCAGTGCTCGGTATAAGGGACGCATTCTTACTCTTGGATACAGTTCAGTTTTTTAGCTGTTTTAATGTTATTTAACTTTTATTTTGCAACAGTTCCGATCATTTTAAACACTTAAAAAAGAAACATTTTTATTTTATTTTATTTTTTTGACCGTGCCATGTGGCATGTGGGATCTTAGTTCCCCCACCAGGGATCTAACCCACGTGTCCTGCATTCGGAGCGCTGTGCCTTAACCACTGGACCGCCAGGGAATTCCCCGATCTCTTTTTGTACTTAACCAATTGCCTCTTTGCCTCGTTGATGAATTCCAGTTAATCTGACAGATGTCTCCTAATCTGACTAGGTGGGTTGCAGCGGAAGAGGGAGAAGAAAGGAATGTTTATTTGGTATCACATATTCTAAGGTGGGAGGGTGGAGAGTTTTCTTTTTTTTGAAATTTTTATTGGAGTATAGTTCATTTACAGTGTTGTGTTAGTTTCAGGTGTACAGCAAAGTGAATCAGTTATACATATATCCACTCTTTTTTAGATTCTTTTCCCACATAGGCCATTGTGGAATTGAGCATTGAGTAGAGTTCCCTGTGCTATACAGTAGGTCCTTGTTAGTTATCTAGGAGCGTTTTCTGGTTACCAGAATTTCTATGCATCTGAAGGGTAGCTAATTCTTGTTTCTACCTTTATGACAATATGATATAATATGTTGTGTAGTTCCCTATCTTGGTGAGCAGAGTTGAAGAAAAACTTCTTGGTTACATAACTGTGGATGAACAATTTATACTATGTTATATAGCTGGTGTGGAACATAGGCTGAATTTGTACTGACCCCAGAACAAACACTGGAACTTAATTTCTTTAATTAAATCTCTTTTCAGTTTGGTTGGTCTTACAGTAAGGTCAGACTGCCTGGGTTTAGATTCCATCTCAGCAGTGGATTAGCTGAGTGACCTGGAGCAAGTTACTTAACTTCACAGTAAGATGGGGATAATATGATTGTGAAGATTAAAGGACGTAATCGATATAAAGCATTAGCACAGTGTCTGGCACACTGCACACCACAAATGTTACGTACGTGTGTTCTCCTCTTCTGCAGAAAGAGGCATTTGGCAGTGTTCAGCCCTGTGAATGACGGTCGTCACTGTAACGAACCATCGTTCCCACTGTCTCCAGTGTTTTTTGACTTTTTGTTAGTGTTCAGATTCCCTATATAATTTAAATTAACCATTTGTTCTGGAAAATGGGTAGTGTTATATTCTTTTATTATTATTATTATTTTAAAATAAATTTATTTGTTGACTTTTGGCTGCATTGGATCTTCATTGCTGTGCGCAGGCTTTCTTTAGTTGTGTTGAGCGGGGGCTACTCTTCGTTGTGGTGCGCAGGCTTCTCGTTGCGGAGCATGGGCTCTAGGCACGTGGGCTTCAGTAGTTGTGGCTTGCGGGCTCTAGAGCGCAGGCTCAGTAGTTGTGGCACACGGGCTTAGTTGCTCCACGGCATGTGGGATCTTCCCGGACTAGGGCTCGCACCCGTGTCCTCTGCATTGGCAGGCGGATTCTTAACCACTGCGCCACCAGGGAAGCCCAGTGGTGTTATATTCTAGTGTAATACTTAGAATTCAGCTTTGGCCTCTATGACTGTGAGAAGGTGATCAGAGATTTCCTTATTGCCAGACCCAGCTGCTGCCTCTGTGAAGCTTTCAACCTTTCCTTGAAATTTTTCCCTTAGGTTTTGGCGCTACTGCATGTGATGTGTGGGTTCTCCTGCTTTTCTGACTCCTCTTTTATCCTCTCAGTGTCAGTTTCACTGCATTTAAGATCCTGTTCTCAGGCTGTGTTTTCTTGGCATATTCTCTCCTTGACTCTGTCATTTACTCTCATAGTCCTAACAGTAGCCTCTAGAACAGAGCAGACTTCCAGCTGTATTTCAGCCACAGTCAAGTCCCGAGCAGCATGCCTTTGTACCCTAAGCACCTTAAACTCTACTTTTCAGAAACTAAACAAATATCTCCTTTCTTCCCCAGCGCACTTAGTCCCCAAATGTTGGATACCTCTCGATGTGAAATAATTTCAGAGGCATTTTTTGATATTTTAGTAGTTGCATAAGTGGTAAGTCATGAAATAACCTTAGCAAAATTAAGGGATTTTCCATGCACAAAACCATTCCTCTAAAGAGGTTAGCTTTTTCCTCTCTGATTTTCTTTTAAAAACTTCTGTAGCGTTAGGAGGCAGTTCTTTTATGTTGGTAGCAGCAATGTATAAGGAAAAAGGCATGTTATTTAAGGAAACCTCAGCATGAGTTGTTTAAAACTTTTCATTATGGAATATATCAAACCTATATAAAAGTAGAGAGAATTGTATAGTGAACCCATATACCTTTACCAGCTAAACACTTAATCAAGTCACGGCGTATCTTATTTCATCTACTTATACTAACTCACCCCCTACTTCTGCTTTATTTTGAAGCAAACACCAGACATCCTATCATTTCATCAGAAAATCAGCATGGATCTCTAAGAGAAAAGCATTTAAAAAAAAATCACAATATCATCCCACACAAAAACACTAACAGTGATTTCTTAATAAGCATAACTGGTTTGAATGGATGGGGAATTGAGGGAGCATTCCTGTAAGAGGCGCTCTCTATTGTCTTTTAAGAGTTTGCTCTATAGCTTTAAATGAAATGATTAAAGGAAAGCCAAACTTCAGCCATAATAAGTTGACCTTTTAGTGAAATGCATGTTATTAATGTATTTAATGAGATGCAGTACAGATTGCAGTGAGCACCATGTTTCATTATAGGTCTAAAATGCAATATCATTGAAGACCTTTAATAGAAACAATGGTTGACATTTTGATATTTCCTATAAGCAAAATCCCCCCAAGAACACAGTATAATGTAATATAGAGAGGAAGTGTTGAGATTTTTTACTTGCTTAAGAGTATAAACACAAATTCCACTATTAAGAAGTTACGTTTTGTTTGTGCTTGCCCCCCATCTTCCCACTTCTAGTTCGAGTTCACCCTCTCATCCCTCTGTGGCCCTTCCCCCAGCCCCTCAACTATTTTGACTTGAATAGACTAAAAATTTTAATGCCAATTTGACCACAGCACTAATAGACACCTTAAAGAACAACTTTTAAAATTTTGAGTAAGTCATGGCAATCGGAATCTTGATAGATAATGTTTGTTTTGTTTTTTAAATTTTATTTATTTTTAAGTAGGCAGTGTATTCACATGGCTCAAAATTCAAAAGATGCTAATGACTCTGCAGAGAAAATCCTCCTTCCCACCCCATACCCCTGCTACCCAGTCCCCTATCCCATAGGCAACCAATATTGTCAGGGAAATTCCCCCTTTGTTATTTCTTAGTTGCCTTAGGTGACAAATCCATGAACATCTATTTCAGTGTTAGCTCGATTAACGCTTTGTGGGTTCATGACAGAGTTCTCACAAATGATCTGTAGAACCCTGGAATATCTGTAATTACTTGGGATAGGTTTAAGTATTGCTTGGGACGACGAAGGCACTTGCAAGCTTCTCCAAGTGTAGCATAGTGTAGGATTAAGGACTCTTATTACTGTAGACTTCATCTAGCCAAGATGGTGTGAGGAAGAT